TTATCAAAGCTACCTAGTTGCTGGCCACACCATGCGAGGGCTTACCTTGCACATGGCAAATCGTACTTGAAAATCAGATAAGAAGGATAGCCTCATCAAGTTTTTATTCTATTAAGCCTTCAAGGCGATATGCGGGCTCAAGTGGGATACGTTTTGCCTTGTCGTTTTGGATGCCCAGCGTACTCGCTAAAGCACAGTTTTCGCAAAGAGAAAACCCATCACCATGAAAACCTAATTGGATTTTGTTACAACGGCGATCCACTCAACCGGTGATTCATTACCTCAAAGGTCGTTTGACATTTCTTTTCAAGACTAGACATGAACGAACAACATTCCAGCATGTTAGGAGGCAGGACAGACACGAGGATGGACATGAGCAACCCCCACTTCACTTCTTACTCACGAAGTCCGATGCAGATAGGTGCGCCAAATTTTGCGCGTGTATTTTCCATGAAAGCACAAGGTTAGACTAATTCATCACTCCTGACAAATGCCTTAGAGATGACCACATTATACAAAAACGTCTTACGTGGGCATTACGTTTGCAATGCCAAAGCTGAGGGTCCAGAAGCTTTCACATGTGTCTGGAACCAGTATTAGGTAGGGGCATAATGGGTGTTGTAACCTATGGAGATGTTTGTAGGAAGTTGTCAACCCTGTAGAAATCTTTTGTCTAGAATATTTTGAAGCTCTCGGTATCCGGATACGGTCTTCGAATTCACTGTGTGTAAACAAAGATTCCCATAACCAGCAAAGCCATTAAGAAGCCGATTATTTTTCGTTTTGTTAGTTGAACTCAAAGCAGACAATACAACCTCAGGGATCTGAAGATCTGCTGCGGATCTTGTTCCAGCAAGACTTTCTGGATTTCTGTGGACACTTACTTATTGTGCGTTTGTCAGGTCCTACCCACACACCTTGTTCCTGCTCCAAGAAGAGCTGTGTCTAACCTCCAACTAGACGGACCCATTTAGAAGCTGCACCCTCATAGTGAAACTAAGCATCATAAACGTACGATTCTAAACTGACCCGCTGTGTGCAACGTAGAAACCCTGACCTAGTACCTCACACAATCTTATGGGTCATATTAGTTCAACTCTTCTGGAACCTCGCCGTCACCTGTACGATCGTCTCCTGCTATCGTTCAGTCTAGTACTTCGTGTGGCTCGCAACCATCCTATTCGTATCAGTGCGTTTTGGCACCGCTCCTTAATGAGTACGACCTAATTCATTGAGCCCAACAAATCAGACGAAGGAATGTGCGTAGATCACATTTTTACCGATGTCCACTGGTTATGTGTAAGTCCCTTAACATTCTTGAATTGTGATTGTATACATCCTATTCCGCTTGTTTCGTTACAATGGATAGCGATATGCCAACACACATTATCCAGTAAATGTGCACCGTAGATCGCGGTTTCAGTGATCCCCTGACCGTTTACTTTCTGTTGTAAACAGGTTTTGCTTTTGGACTGTTTATCCATGTCATCGTTATATGAATTGACGTATGCGATTTGGTTTCGATTCTGTGCCCGTTGCTTCACCGTTGACTGCACAGATTCTCCTGCCTTCGGTTCCTGTCTTCTACCATTTGGTGGAGCTCAACAGCCAACCGCATTCTTGCTAGCCCGTTTCGGTTTTGCTCGTTGGTATGTGCGATTCACGAACTTGTGTACCTACGGAATTCTTCGACTTTGGTCTGAGAATATGGTTCTGATTTCACAAGCAACAGAAAGAAAACACAACAGGGAACCTGACGCATAATCCGATCTGATTGCACCACTTCAGGCGGTGATTTTACGTCTTACCAGATTGTTACTCATAGACCCGATAGAGGAGAACATATGAGGGTCCTTAAAATACTGTTATACATCCTACAGCCCGCCGAACCGATTGCCGTTGCAGTTACGCTGATACACTGTTTTTTGCTGAATGGTGGAACCTGAGCGCTTCTGTCCACATAACTCGTGGATTGATTGAACATATAAGCAATCACACTAATTTTCTTGTGTCCATGGAGGAAATTTACAGTCATTGCCGTCCGGAAGGAACACTATGACGGTGATCAAAATATTTTACTGGTTTTGTAATTTCTTTCGAAATGGAAATCGGTGCTCGCCAGGATAACCGAATATAATAAGTGGTTACAAATTCTTGACGATACTCTTATCATTACTTGGAGCTTATGTGTACGCTTGCATGGGCATGACGGGCGGATAGTTTATACATATCTCCATATGCATATCTCCGTACGTCAAATGCTGAAACAGTCGGGTTACAAACGCATTAGCCATTGAGAGATGACGAGGCTTGGTAAACCGAGAACGGACACAGGGAATCA